GTCAGGGCACATGCCCGGGTTGCCGGCTAGGCAGCCGATCAATAACTCTCTGATCACTGATGTTTCTCTCTCTCTCTTCCCCTCCTTTATCTGAAATCAATAAAGATATGTTTAAAAAAAAACAACAAAAAAAGAAGTTTTTCCTTAATTTTAAAGAGAAATTCATAAGACACACCCTCATGGCTAATTATGTCCCATTTCAGAATGTCTGTGTTCACATGTTGAAGCTCGTAGACGCGTTAGCTGAGACTGCAGATCTGGCTCTTCAGGCTAGATTGATATCTTATGCTGGCCTAGTTATATATTCTCTACTAGCCTAGATGGTGAACATCATAAACACCAGTGCTGACAAGACTGATGAGGATTTCTTTAGTAGGATATATCTGCTAACTCAACACAAAATGTAGAAAGGATAGCATTGCTCAAACTTGCAGAGTTGGAGGAGTTTGTATGCTTATCTCAAGAGAAATGCTTCAATCAACAGAAGTGATCAACTTTAATTCCTGGACAATGTAAGATAACAGATTATATACATTATTTTAAGGTCAGCGTAGATGCATTTTCTTTTTTCTTTTTTTATATGTTTTTAATGATTTCAGAGATAGGAAGGGAGAGGGAGAGAGAGAGAGAGAGAGAAACATCAATGATGAGAGAGAGTCATTGATCGGCTGCCTCCTGCACGCCCCCTACTGAGGATCAAGCCCACAACCCGGGCATGTGCCCTGACTGGGAATCTAATTATGACCTGGTTCATAGGTTGACACTCAACCACTGAGCTGGCTGGGCAAGATGCATTTTCTTTAAGATGAATCTCTGTATGTCAAAGATGATTTTGTCTGTCCTAGATTGTATCTTAAATTTTTTTAATATACATCTCATAGGTGTTTCAAAAAGTAGTACAATATAATAGTTTATGTTTAAGTAGTGGCCTACTATGGCATCCTGATCTTTTCCTAATAATAACGGCAAACATTTATTGAGCACTTGTACACGCCAACCTTTACCCATAAAACAATTTCCCTAATGTTAGTGTCATTGTGGTTTCTACCATGAAAAGTGGCAATAACACAATGACAGTATTCTAGGCTAACATTTTATTTCTTTAAAAAAAAAAAATGTTTTTATTGATTATTTTAGAGAGAGGAAGGGAGATGGAGAGAGAGAGAGAAACATCGATGAGAGAGAAACATGGGTCATCTACCTCCTGCAGGCTCCCTTCTGAGGATCTAGCCTGCAACTAAAGGCATGTGCCCTGACTGGGAATTGAACCAGCGACCTCCTGGTTCATGGGTCAATGCTCAACCACTGAGCAACACCAGCTGGGCTAACGAATTATTTCAATCTACTAAGCCAGACCCCTAATTGCTGGTAGGAAGTGATGTTTACCTCTCCAATTAAATATTTCACAACACACTTGGCTTCCAGAATGGTAGCAATATTCTCCCAGCGGTGTTTTGGCCTGTCTTCACTTTCTGCATCCAGCAGCTTCTGCTGTAGGTCAGCAATCTGAGCACTCCTTCAAGGAAAAAAACAGTGAGCCTTATTACTAGTAGTCTCAACACCAAGGAAAGGGGAAGAGCTCCAAGGAGAAACTTCAAATAGTTTTCTGGAAGGAGGTATCAGTTAAATATCATTTAAATGGAGGAGATATCAAGATGGTGGCGTAGGTAACAGCTGCACCTGCCGCCTCCCGCAACCACATCAAAATTACAACTAAAATACAGAACCACCATCACTCAGAACCTCCTGAAATCTAGCTGAACAGAAGCCCTACAACTAGGGAACTGAATAGACATCAAGGCCGGTAGGAGGGGCGGAGACGCAGGTGGACTGGGGCTGAATTGTGGAGACGTGGCCACGGGCCCACACCGGGTGTGGCAGTTTAAACCCGGGAGGGACATCTCCACGGCGGAGGTTTCCCGGAGGAGTGAGGGGTCCCAGCCCCTCATTAGGCGCCCAGCCCAGGGCTCCAGGGCTGGGAAGAGAAGTCCCCACAGCTTCAGGGACTGTCACTGAGGGTGGGGGTGGTGGTGCGGGAGTCCCAGGCAGCTCCTCTTAAAGGGCCCGCACACGAACTCAGACGCGCTGCCTCTGAGCCACAGCACTGGGAAGCAGCTGGAAAGGAACCTGGGACACTTGGGGAGGAACTAACCTGCCTGAGGTCGGGACAAGAGGTGGAGGGGCAGCTTTCTCCCAGGCAGAGAAACTGGCAGAGGCCATTGCTCCTTTGGCGAGCCCTGCCCCACACAGTTGCCTGGCAGGCACCATATTTGAATAACCAGCACCTGACTTACACCTTTGGCCCCTCCCCACCCCACCTGCAAGCTCATCCAGGCCATTTCCAGGGTCTTTTCTGTGCAAGTGGCCTCTCGAGCCTCATGCTTAGGACTTTTCTAAAATCTCTCAAACATAGGGCTGATAAGAGGCCCCAGGCCTGGCACTAGCGGCAGCCTGCATTGGCTCATAGCTTGGCCTCTCCTAGACACCTCCAAGCCCAGCACAAGTAGCAGCCAACTACGGATTGCTGTGTAGCTCATGCTGGGTGGCCCTGGGCAAGCGACAGGCAGAGGCTGACTTTGCACCTCCCGGGAGGCCCCAGCGACAGTGCACCTGGTGATCGGACTCAACCACACTGGATTATAACCCCTACCACATCCACGACTGACACACTCAAGGGGCCCACTTGGTGAACACCAAAGCCCCACTGAAGTAAATCCTGACCCACAGGGGCGTCTCCAGCACAGCAGCTCTTTGGCTATAGTTGTAGCTGGTCCTCACAGACTTTTGGCCTGGGGGTCAATTCCTCCCAGTGACGCCAACAGCAACCAAGGCTCAATTACAACAGGACAGTGCACACAGTCCACACAGGGGAGCACCTAGAGGGCCCAGCTCAGGTGACTGGGGAGGCTGAGCCACTGGACCCTACAGGACACCTACTACACAAAGCCACTCTACAAATTCCAGGAGACATAGCAGCTCTACCTAATATATAGAAACAAACACCTGGAAGCAGACAAAGTGTGGAGGCAAAGAAACATGTCACAAAGGATAGAACAGAAGAAATCTCTGGAAGAGGAACAAATGAAATAGATCCAAGCAAGCTAACAGATATAGATACCGAGTTCAGAATTTTGTTTATAAAGATGGTTAAGCAGACTATTAGGAAATAACTGAGAAAATAAAAAACATAATAAAGAACAAATTTGAAAGGAAGGCTACACAAACTGAAATAAATAATAATTTACAGGGAATCAACGGTAGAGTAGAGGACACTGAGAATCAAATCAGCAATTTGGAACATGAGGAAACAAAAAACACCCAACCAGAAGA